AACCAGAGGTTCAAGTTGTTCTGTAAAAATGTTTAATCCTGATTGAACGTTATTAACATTGCTTTGATCAAGCACAATAAAGTGATTAACTTTATAACACCCATTTAGCACTTTCCATCTTGATACTAGGACTAATAAGGAGGAATTGAGGCAGTTGATTATTTTGAGCACCAGAGGGAACTGGAACGACTATTGTGCATAGCTGGAGTATTATTATTAGTCGCTGCCTTGAATATACACGCCATAGTAAACCAACATGCAGTGGTTAATTTAGGCAAAAAGTACAAATCATCTCATGCTGACTAATACTCACTACGAACAGAGATTGAAGGAAATGACACACGACAATAAACTCAGCATCCCGACAACGAACAGAGAGATTTCCAAACTAAGTATTATACTACTAGATGTACTTCCGCAGGGTCCCCGAAAGTGTTCTGTTTCAAGAGTAAATAAAACCAAAATTAAGAGTAACAAATACTCTTATTTTTCGCCTTTGAAGTTCATATGTCATGCTGTGTTGTAGCCTACAGAGTGCATAGTTCTTCTCGTGATTCATGGCATGCGCACTTTTTACTGACGTCACGACAGAACAAACTGCAACGTTAAGCATTCCTTATGTGACGCCATTTTAGTGTTTACTGACTGACTGACAGACAACACACTATTGTATAGTGATGCGATTGGTGAAAACCTTCCAGGTAGCCTTCGACTCCCCTTCGGGGAAATAAATAGACACACGAATAAACTCCAACAGAAATTAAACTCCCCATTCTACCTAATACAAAGAGGAAATCACTTCACACTTGCTTATTATCATTACCTCATTTAACTCATTAATACTCTAACAAAAATATGTCACAATGAAGATAAAGCTTTACTTTATCGAATTAACAGAACCTCGAACATAAAGCATCTTATATACATTTGGTGTTTAACTTCATGACTAATGTACAGGAACCAGATAGAAACGTCTGGCGCTAAATACAACACGAAATACTCGGATATAGTGTAGATATAAGGCCAGAAATCGCAATACAGAGAGACCATTCCGAACAACTCGCACTAAGTAAACAAACAACAACAAAGTCTTTCTTTTACAGACGAGAAAATAAAAACAAGCACAAGTTTTTTTTAGAACACTGATTTACTTCTAGCCTAGTATAATTGTAGATAAAGCAACAAACACAAATTTATAACTATTAGAGAGAAGAAAAAAAGCACAGAATTCTTGATCAGTAAAATCAACAACAACATCCATCTCTAGCCTATTATAGATATAGTTAATATTAAATACAATCGAAGTTCAGTGCGAAGACAAACATAGGTGACCAGCACGTTCTAGTTTAGTATGTGGACAAATATATATATATATATATATATAGCGAGGTAACTAAATAATACCTTAC